CACACGCACACACACACTTTCCATAGACTTCTATTGTTTTGAACATGTGGCAGCCTGCCTGTGTGGATCCTTGTTCATTGGGTCTTTACCTCTGTCTTCTAAATATGCTCTAGAAAGTGTGTTTGGCACACAGGTGAGGAGAGGAAGGCCTGCAGGACCCTCGCTGTGAGGACTGTGCTCTGAAGTGTGTTGTTTGGTCATATAGAGCTCAACCGTCCGCAGTCTGCTTGTTAACACTGCTAACATCGCATGTGACTGAGAAGATGCTATGTGTTTATGATACATTAGTCCTTCTCTGACTGACACTGATTATGTGCTCTGCATTTATGTGGTTGTTTCAATCACTTTGTAGCATTGCCCATGTTTTAGCATGTTTTTACAGAAATAATATACTTTAAATAATTGAATATTTGGCCAATTATTTCGTTAGCATTTCTTGGCCACTTAAATGTATTGAAATATTGTTTAAGTGTACTGTCAAGCCTTTATGTTAACATAAATATACTGTAATGTCATTTCTATTGAAACCTGTATGCCATCTATTTAACTATATTTGTAATTACACATTTGTTATGCTGAAGCTGCAATTCAATATACAGTAGTCAACATCTAAAGTGGAATAAAAAAAGACAAGAACGCATTTAGGTTTTAGGACAACTTTGATGAAAGGTTTTGATCCACTTCAAATGTTGACTACTATATTTGAAATATATCATCTTTAAAACACACTACAGTTAAATCGGTTAATCAGGTGCATTAGATGTGCTTTAAGTTAGTCAACACATCAAAATAAAGACAAAAAGATTATTAATGCATAATGATTTGAAATGTATACTGTAAAACTTTTCATTTGACATTATTATAAAATGCTACTTTTAAAAGCATAAAAGTCTGTCCTCTTTAAGTACACAAGTGTCCTTTTATTTAATTCATATTATATTATATGCATGTATATTGAACATATATGTTGAAGATTTGAAGTTCACTACAAGTGCACATTCAATATAATTAAGTGCACTTCTTTTTCAGAAGGTCAGAAATAGGAGAAAGATAACAGGAACCTAATATGATTTTAAGCTTCAGATCGATGTTGTGAGTTTGTTCTGCTGGCAATCTAAAAGTTCTACTCAGTATTTGTCACTTTGAAAGACTAAACTTGAATTACAACCTTCAATTTGGCAAAACAGTGTTTTCGCCTGAATGAGTTACACTATATGCTCCTTAACATTTTTGTTTTTGGAAGAAACAAATCCATCAAGATTTTGGAGAATGGACTTGTTTGAACTTGAAATGTCTTAATGATAGATTTGTTTCTTACAAACACAGCTTTTCACTTCACATGACATTATCTGATGGACTGGAGTGGTGTGGATTACTTGTGGATTATGGTGATGTTTTTATCAGCTGTTTGGACTCTCATTCTGACGGCACCCATTCACTTCCATTGCTGAGCAAGTGACGTAATGCTATATTTCTCTACGAAGAAACAAACTCATCTACATCTTGGTAGATGAACTATTTCTTTCAAACATACTCCTCTAGTGATCAGTGTCAGTCGAGGTTTTCTGATTTCCTCGAGATGTTCCAGATGCCTCGTTTTCCATCGACGAGTCCAAAGCGTCTTCGTTTCCCGGTATCGGTGCAGTCATGGCAGATGAGTGCATGACTGGGTAAACACTTGGGTTATAATGGCGAGTCTGAATGCGAGGGCCTGTGGATGAGTTATGGGTCCCTGCTGCCAAAAACAGGTCGTCAAGTCTGGAGCGGCCCGTCCTGGAGCTGTGTTT